TGATTATGTGGGGTCGCTCGTCCTTGACTCTTTGTGACACTAATTTAAACAAAGCTGTGGGGCTTATTGTTTAGCTAATCATGTCCTTGTTGTCATGTCAAAGACGCAACTCTTTGCTACATAAATCTTGTCACAATTTTTAAAATTATAAAAGTGGTTGTAAAGCTTAGAATAATACGTAATGAATCAAAGTGAAAATCGACAGCGCCTTCCTGTTTAATGATTTAATGTTAATTTGGCTGTTTTGTAGTAGTGTCAATCCAATCTTTATTTGTAAAAACAAACTAAATTTTGCATTGGTAACTCCCAACGTTAAAAAAACTGTTTTTTTCCGCCTTCTTACTTAACATTGTCTGTTGTATTTCTACTTTCTTGAGGCTGGAAGGACGGGTTGGTACACAAAGCAGTGGAAGGTGTTTGGTTTAAAAAAGACCAAAACGTGAACTGTCTAACTGCAGACCTATTTTGGTGTTTCTCATTTTTGGTCATCGAATTTATACGATAAGCATGAATGGTGGGATACGAGCCCATGTTGTAAAGAATTTGCTGTCACGTGCCATTGCATCATGAAGCCGTTTCGCATAATGCCTTACGATTGCCATTTCGTGTGACATGTCACTAGCACTGCCGCAGGATTATTTAAGCCCGTATGAACTGTTGAACAAATCTTTTCAGGCAGAATCTGTACGACTTAATGGCCCATCTTTCGAGTTTAGATATTCTCATATTCGTCCTTTTGGCGTTTTTTTGTGTATTTTACCTCTTTTGTGTGGCATTTAAAAGCCCTACCAAAGGCAGTCCACTCGTTTTTACCTGAATTCAAAGACGCTAAAGCCTTTAATAAAAATGGAAGCCCTTTGTATCCCCCTTACAGTTGACGTGTACCATTCAAATTTACAAACGCAACGCCTTTTTGGCATGCAAAACCTTCAAATGGTGTTTTGCTAAGACCCAGCAGCACGGCAGCATTAAAGTGTGATCAAGTGACCTTCAAATCTTGTTTTCATTTGAGGCAAGCATCTCCTCCAGCGGCTATGAATGCTGGGCGAAATGCATTTTAGGCTGGGGAGGGCAGAACTGGCCACCTTGCCTGCAAGGAGGTTTATGCGTGTAATATTCCTTACCAAGGCATTGAAATGTGGCACAAACATAGGAGGCTTTTAAGCATTAGGGTAATGTATAACCATAAAAATTTTGCAGGTGAGTACAACATCACGGTGAATGCGGACATTTCTTTGGACTGGCGCAGTCATTTGCGTCTCCTCGCCTGTCACGCAGACGTTGGTGACTTCAAGAGCGTCCAACAAACTTTCCTCGTCATTCATCTGAGTACGTAAGTCAACTTTGCTTTTCACTGTCCACATTGTCTGTAGCACAGAGCTCTCCAAAAGCCTGGCAACGCCGTGAGCCACTGTGGTTGCGCCTGTTCTTTCATGTCACGCAAGT